CTCTCTCTCTCTCTCTCTCTCTCTCTCTCTCTCTCTCTCTCTCTCTCTCACACACACACACACACACACACACAGGGCCCCGACTAATATACGCACATTCTTAAGCTCACCGGGTCATCCGTTTCATGGGCCATTCTTCAAGCACCTTTCTTCCACCCTCTTCTTCCCTCTTTTTGGTTCCCTTCCTCTTCCTCGTCCTGTTCGCTTCTCTTCAACCCTTCACCTTCTTACTCACACGTTCTACTTCCTCGTTCCAGAAGCGGTATCTTTCTTCTTCCTGAGATCAGCAGAGCCCCTTTCAACCTCTGCACTGGCACAGAGAACGTGAAGAGAGGCTATCACTTATTACCACTAAAAACTATAAACCCGGCCCATCGAGTATATATTCCGCCCGACACGTGCACAGCCGATGCATCGGTACACGTGGGACAACGATCAGATAGAATGCAAAACACCAGTTCCAACGAATTTTCGACCCATGAAAAGAAAAGAAATCAGCTTCATACTCACTCGGATCTTCAAGAGCCTACCTGCTTGCTTGCTTCGCTGCCACGTTCAGTGCGGTCCTGTGTGATTACCAACCAACGCACGTGCTCCGCCGTCCGCTGACACAGATGGAAATCACGAGTTGCCTCGCTAATCAGCCACTTCCATCGGTCCCAGGAAGACGTCCATGGACCGGCACGCCGACCGCCCGGCCACCCCACCCTAGAGGTCGGGGTGAGTTAAAGGCTCTGAACGGGAAATTCACAAGGGCGTCAAGCATATTCATCATCGGTAGGATCGGGCACTCCTTGAGCACTCCCGGCTCCGCTCGACACGTACCACCAATGACAAGCCCGAGAAGTGACAGGTGGACATGTGGGAGGACCAGCCTGCGCGGCGAAGAAACCACGAAACGTTTGGTGTTTGTCCTCGACCGCACCACGGACCATACCACCAGTCGTTCCGATGAGATCGGTCGGATTCACGAAATTCATCGACATCGAATATCCAGACGGCTGGCAAAACCGGCTCGCGTGCAGAACCGGTGTGTTAGCCTCGAGGCCTCATGATAGCCTAGGTGCACCAGACCCCACAGGGCCGACGAACCGACAAGGTTCCTTCCCACACAGACTACACTACTGCCAAACGCACCTGGCGGAGACAGCCGATTAGGCAGAACGTGATGGGTTGTATGAAGGGCTCATTTTTTCGGGAAGGAAGCCCTACTGCCGTCTTCCCCGAACATAACGCATGAAGCCCTAAGGGCTATTCGAACCCGAAAGCGACCATGCGTTCTATTCGTCTACAGGGGATATGCGTTGTATTTGAATAGGATCCACCCTATGCTGTATTCGTTTACAACGCGTATGCGTTAATGTTCCAGGGTAGGCTCCCAGGGAATGGGATTAGTGACACAATAGGCCATGTACCGGTAACTGGTTCTGTGTGTGGATTCACGGACTACCCCTCAGATGGAGACCAGCCGTTGCGCCAACACTGCCAAGGCAATTGTATTCGACCTCCTTTTACACTGAGGGTGGAAGTTCCGGGGCCATATTTTTCCAGAAAGAGTACTACCGATAGGCTAGAGATTGAGAAAAACCATGGCACCTCTTTTTACTCTGAGGGTGGGAGTTCCGGGGCCATCTTCCCTATCCCTATACTCCTGAAGAAAATAGCGTCTCTCTCTCTCTCTCTCTCTCTCTCTCTCTCTCTCTCTCTCTCTCTCTCTCTCTCTCTCTCTC